GTAAAATTGGCCAATCCGTGATTAATGTGGTTCAGGTGTTAAGGAAAGGCGATCTTCTTTTTAGCCGTAATTTATTAACTATTATTACGAGTCTTACGAGAGATTAGCTAACTCAGTATTAATAATGAAGACGTACAATTTCTTATTGCCTTATGATTTATGAAGTCTACGTAATATCATGACATCAAAAATGTCTATAATAAATAAGTCAAACCTATTATAAATGAGCTAAAAAGAGATCGAGGGAGTTATTTTTAATTATTTTGTCATTCGCGTTAAAATTTGCGATTGTTTCTCAATTTCACAAAAAATACTAATTTTTGTAAGAAAAATCAACACACACGTATTCCTTATAAAAATTGGCATTTTTCGTGAAATCGAGAAGCGCTATATTTAATGTATATTTTTGAAGTGCTATATTTAATGTATTGATGCACATAAATAATTAATATCGCAAAATATATTTCTTTATATAATTTAAAATTGTCAAGTTTGATTAAAAAATAAACTTATCAATCATATCACAATTACGCCATTACTAATTCCAGTTTATCTCGCTCCACTTGATTTTAATGCTGAATTGACATCGCGCAGTCATTCCTGCTATTGGTTTAGCATTGGAGTAAAGAGCGACACGGAGACAGATAGGTATGATTTAGCAACATGACGCGTAACATTGATATTCGGAACGCGGAACGCACTCAGGAAAGGAGAGATAATTTAATGAGCGTTGCACCGTAAGGCTAACTTTTGATTATTCGTTTATGCATATGATATCTGCTGGACGTCAGTTAGATGGTCTCTCATGGTCGCAGAGTACTCGTCATTAATATCCATGAGTTAAGTTTAAGCATATCCGGCTATGCGTTTTCGGCTTCGAGCACGTAGAACATAATTTATGACTATCGTGTGAATCACGAACAATCGATTGCACATTCTCTATATTTAACGATACTCGTGCTATTTATTTTTGAGTCCGCTATTTTCTGAACGAGGAGATACGTTATCATGCAAGAGAAATGTCCAATTAAAAACATAACCCTACTGAAAAAATCATATCACAACGTTACATGATGAAATCATTAAATTAAAATATGTAAATTACGTAACGAATTATTCCAAATCAGTACGTGATTTTTTTTGACGTAATTTGAGAAATCACATAATATTAGAAATAGTTTTATCCATCACGTGATTTTATAATTGTCAAATTTTAAAGAATTGAATGATAGAAATGACTGATAGAAGAAAAAAGAACATATCATCATGTGACTTTCCAAATTAAAAGTTTACAAAATCATATACCGATTTCGAATAATCCGTTATATAAACGTGTTTTAATTACATAATTTCATCATGTAACTATGTGACATGATTTTTTTCAGTAGAGAAGTCTCTGAAATGAAGAGTTGAGATGAAGAATTAAAATCGAATATCTTAAGCCTTAATTTACACCTTTGGGTCATTCGTGTTCTGCGCATTTCTTTTCTTTGATTTATATACAACAATATTATATACAACAATTGTATATAACAATTTACTATAAATATACAATCTTATTTTCTAAAAATGTCAAAATATACGTAAAAATTGTTTAGTAATTTTTATATACTTGTAAAAATAATGAAAATTAATCCAGGACCTATCGTATGTAGTAAGGGTGACAAAAACTAAGGCGTGTATTAAGGGTCAACATTGTTATTATGCAATTTATAGACTTTGATATAACTTAGTTCTTGCGAACTAGTAAATAATTTTTATAAAAGAATAAAGCGATTATATTTTTCATTATTTACGCATGTGGCATTAAATACCGCAATGCGATTAATAAATTAATAAATTAATAATCGGTGAGGCGTAAAATATATATAAAAATGTTAAATATATCGTAAAGGTTCGAAAAGAGACTATCGTCGATACGCAACATTACAATCACCGGAAAATATTTCCATCTAAGTGGGTTGGTAAAGCAATCACTATGCGAGGTGCAGCGGAGCACATAACACGCGCCATTATGGTCAGTACAAAGAGACGAGCTATGGATCTAAATTGGTTTCGTTCATCGTTGATCTGTTTGTACGTACAAGTTGCGGTGCACGTGCACCCATGGATAATTCGCGGAACGAGAGCATACGGATGCTGCAATATGAGTAGCTAAATGTACTTGACGTTGTTCGCGTTAATTTTACAACATCACCTATTGCCGACAAAATACGTGCAATTTGTTTTTAAAGAATTTCACGTCAAATGACGATACAAGAAAGATTGGAAACTACATAAATCGCGATTTTTGTTTTCTCAGATAATGTTATCACTAAAAAAAATTATAAAGAATATTTAAAAGGAAATTAAAGGGAATTTTGCTAATATTATGCCCTTTAAGGAACAAAAAGAAATGGAAAATAATTTCGTAACAGCCGATAGAGTAAAAATTAATACTGAATAAGTATATACAACGTCTTATTTTTGCAACATTATTTTTAGACAATTCTAACCAGTTTGAAATAATAAAGGTAGACACACATACAATTTTGCAATAAAATACTTAGCATAAAGTTTTTGTCAAAGAAAAATTGATTTTAAATAAACTAGTAAATATGACTTTTTTATCCATTTTTTTCAAAGTTTTAATTCATCAAAGGCTCTTATTTTTATTCATTAAATATACGTATAATAATTTCGGAAGCTATAAATATATTTTTATCGAAGAAAAATAGATTCAAGTTGATGAAAGAATATTCGGTTATTATAGAAGATTGCGGCAGAAATGGGATGATATGACAGAAACAACAGCATACAATCGTGGTATTATACATGTAATTTTAGCGCTCCGTCAATCGCATCTCCCTTACTCGAAACGCTCGCCGAATCTGTTCGGACTATTCACGTTCTCTTTCGGAGGATCGCGACACCGGGCACTAATCTTGCAAGAATCATCGAGCGCGAAATTGAAGTCTCGTCGAAGCCTGAGCCCCGCCTTAATTCAGGCCTCCGAGTTCGAGACACGCAATCTTCATCGAACGTCCCAAGTCGCGTCGACTGTATCCCGACCAAGTATACGCGGCGCTAGTCATTATTTCGTGGTTTTGTAACAGATCCGCGACCGGCATTATGCAATTTAATGACGAGCCTTTTTAATTCTCTCCGCGACTCGAGAGCGCGCGAATTTCGCGTGCAATTTGTAGAAAAACGCTAACCTAGAGCCGATTCAATACCTTAATTCTTGCAAATCGCAGGTAAAAAATTTATCAAATTTATCATAATTTGGCACAATAAACAATTATGCAAAATAACAATCTGTTAGTTCCTCATCATTCAAACTGTGTCTTGTGAACGTTATTAATTTATATGGATATATTTTTATCCCATTTCCATGTCGATATATATTTAATTGCTTTTCGTCAAATTTCGAAAATTAAACCTAAAAAGAATGGTATACGAAAAGTAAAACACACACGTATACACACACACAATAAACGGATGCATGGCTGAAGGATATATATAATAACGATATAACCTCGACAAACAAACGCGTCAACTTTACTCACCGGGATGGAGGAGCTCTGGATGGTTCCCGAGCGTTTCTTAGCGAAAAGTATGATGAACGAGCACGTTTATGCACACGAAGCACTTTTCGAAGAATCTTGTTCACGCGATAAAACGAGTCATTTTCAAAGAACTTCCGCCTGCATGCGCCAAAACGAAGCATACCTTCAAAATCACGCACTTCAACCGCTTGAAGTTTGCACCAGTTTGAATTGCCAAGCCACGGTGCCAAACGTTCGACTCGACATGCCCGTTTCTACCAATGTGGATTAACTTTAATCTCGGTTCAACTTACTCTTCATCTTTTTCTTATTTTTAAAACTAGAAAAAGATGAAGAATTAGTTGAATCGAGATATTAAAGTTAAACTGGTAAAAACAGGCATCAGTGGACCACGCCGACCACAATGTATAATATTTGTTTAATTGTAAATGCTTGTACAAACATGCATACAAAGGAATTTATACTACATTTACACGGCACGCTTAATCGGGTTTAATCATCGACATCTAGAATGGACCGCTGATGGCAATGGTGGGGGTAGAAAGACGATTAGAGTGAGAGACAGGAATAATAAGATCGTTCTTTCATCCATTCTAGATGTCGATGGATTTAATACATCCGTAGTTATTAAATTGGCCAATCATAGCTGTTGCTCGAAAGAATAGAACGACTGCGATTGGCTAGTTTCATAACTACGGATGTTATTAAATTAATAACAACCGGTTAAGGGTGCCGTGTAAATAATAGTCGATCATTGACTGATTGCGATATCTGATAAGATTTAATATATTATATGTATAAAATATAATTATCTTATATATATAAAAGACAAAAAACCCCAATTTTTTAAATCCCCAATTTTTTATTATTAAAGTTTGCGTCCCTATTGAAGGATTTAAATGAGAGATTTACTGAGAGTAAAAAAAACTGATAATTATTAATTTTATGATTTATTAGTTTTGTAAATTTTAATGTTTTATTGTCCGAGTTTGATTATTTTCTTTATTCCCAGCGTATTTCTGTCGATAACGGTTTCTTTTAACTATAGTATTACGTTTATCTGTCTAGATGTCGCTAAAGAACATCTCCGTCATTTTTATCGACGGAGCAAAAAACCCGAGAAACGGAGACTGGAAACGAGACAGATCGTCGTGGATCGTGATAGCGTTCGGGATTTTCCCGTAATTGCTTCTAAATAATCCGTTAGAATAATTTCATCTCGCCGTGGGGAATGATTAACGTTTGCTCGGGCTGCATTGCGCCTCCATTACGCTTCGATTAGATTCAGATAAAAAGAAATAAATTATACTCGCATAAAAAATTTATACGTCGCGTATCATATGCATCCTTCGTAACCTTTCAAATATAACCTTCAAACGCGAAATTATCTTTGGTTAGGCGATTTTACGACTCTATCACGGCCTTTTTACCGTTGATAGAACGCGCGGAAAAATGCCAGCACCAAATTCCATCAGCGTAGCTGTAATATGTTCCAGTAATATGAACAGGAGCATGGAGGCACATGCTTTTCTGAGGTAATCGGTCAATCAATGATTAACCTCGTGCAAACAGATTAATCCATTGACGATCCTCGGGGATTTGTAACTTTTTTGTAGAATGCAATTTTTGCTACTCTTATTCTTAAATTGCTATTCTAAATCCTCCAAAATATATATATATTGCAATATTTAATAATTAAAATAAAAAAATTGTTGCATAGAATGTGCATCTTATTTGAAAATATGATTGTGTTTCAGCAAAAAGGGATTTAATGTAAAATCATTTGGAACTGGAGACAAGGTCAAATTACCTGGTACTGCACCAGACCGCCCTAATATCTACGACTTTGGAACTTCATACGATGAGATCTACAATGATTTATTGATGAAAGACAAGCAATAGTATCCTTATATAAATAAGCCTTTTGATACTTTTCTGACATGTAATATTAAAAATATAAGTCTGTTTTGTTTGTTACCTTTATAAATTTTTGCTATTAAGTTACTAATTTTAATTTATCTAAATAAAAAAAAGAATTTTCTTTATATAATGCTATATCTTTTCTATGTTAATTATCCCTTAATAATTAATACAGTTATACACAGAACGGTTTATTACATATGCTGGATCGGAACCGCCGAATAAAACCTAGACCTGAACGATTTCAATTGTCCAAGGATAAGTTTGATATTTTAATTTCATGCGAGGAACGTGTATATGATCAAGTAATCGAATGCATGGAATCTAGAACTAAAGAAGATAATCAACCTGTGCATTTGATTAATATTGACATTCAGGATAATCACGAAGAGGCCACAGTAGGCTCGTTTCTTATATGCGAGCTAGTAACAGTGGTATTATATATATATTTTTTAAATTTTTTAATTATATTTGGAAATATTTCAATTTTATAATAAGCAAATGTTCATGTTTTAGTTGGCAAATAGCGAAGACTTAGACAATGACATAGATGAACTACTCCATGAATTTGAGGCCAAATTTGCAAGAACAATATTGCACACTGTGTTATTTTACTGAAAAATCCGACACAAGAATTATCAGGAATGGAATATCTGGTGTTCATCGAATTTGAAATTTATTTATAACCAAAATTAAATTATATATAATTTACTGAATTTATATATATATATATATATGTATATGTATATATATGTATATGCATCTATATATAAAATCTGCTTGTGTTTCCTATTTAACGGTTATTCCCATGGAATCTAATTAACATGGTACACTGTTGAAGTTGATAACGTATTTTAATTGATAACGTTGATTCACATTACATCAGGATTAAACAAAGTCTATAGAATGGTATCAATCTTTAAGCATAAAACAAAAAAGGAATAAAGAATAAATGCAGACAGTATAAAATATAAAACACTATAATATTTAAGCATATACATACATGTTCATGTATTGTGCACGATTACATCTGAGTATAAATCCACAACATACGTGTATATAACATACACATGTAATTTATATATTTATATATTCAATGTACAAAAGAGAATAATATGTACATATGAGATATATAAATATATATATATTATATGTACATATTTCAAGATATGTATACATATGTATATATATTCGAACGTTGCAGAGTTGTTATTTACACACATTATATATACATAATCATACAGCTATATTACATGGCTGTTACTGATAAAACCAATGGATTGAGAAAATGCAAAACGATGATATTTTTCACATGTTTTGTACTCAGTGTTGATCAAGATGAGCATACAACCTTCGAGCCTTTTCACGTTTATTTTTATTAACGTGTTTATTTACAATTTTCCATGGTTTTTTTATTCTATTTGAATGACCGTCGATCGATTCTGTTAAACTAACCGTTGATCCCGTGTGCCTGGAAATTAATTAATAATACCAGTCAAATGAATTTTGTATATGAAGTAAATACAAGACATTCTGATAATAGTCTAAATACTTATAATGTACATATATTTCAATCATGTATGACGAAGTGTCACTCGATTAGAAATCGAACACATTTGAATAGATTATATGATTATATCGTCACACTATTGTATAAGAGTGACTACTTAAATAAAGCCAACATTTTGACATTACATTGTAGAGTGTTGTAACACAGGTTCACGAATCTTCTTAACGTGTGTATCCTGGAAAAATTTCCGATCTACAGCGTTGACTGTTACTCGACATCCTTCGTTTACGCGAATCGTTCGGGGTGGTACGTGTCTATTCGTGGATATATTACGACGTCGCGGTGGAAACGTGTGAAAACGCTCTTGGTCAAACATTGGCGGTGCAACGCAGTATAGCAATTTACCATTAACGAAATCTTTCAAAACGTATCTGGCTGAACGTGGATTATCTGGTTGACCGTTCTGTGTCATAAAACCTCTATTATCTGCAAACATATACGATATAAATTTATAGAAATATGCATTATAATTATTATAAATAAATGTGTGAACATAAATCATAATTTATATATACATGTAATATTATAAATATAAAATTGGGGCATTTTAATTTTAATACTTTTTAATATATTTCAATTTATATATAAACTGATTACATACAACCGTGCGCATTTAAAAGCTCCTCTGCAGTTAGGGCACGATTCGAGTCTTCTCCCTCGGATGGTATAGGTAACATAAAACCATAAAGATCCTCTAGAATGTATCTAGGTATCAATGTAGCCAGCAATGTAATTGCTGGTACATGATCTCGCATCTGATCAATCGGCAGTATGCCATTTAAGATCATCTCCGCTTTTGTACAAAGAAAGCTTGGCATCACCAAACCTGGGCAATCACATAATAATAAATCTTTTTCTAAATACAAAGTTTGAAAATGCTTAGTTTTGCCCGGCGTGGCAGACACCGAAACCTTTTTATCCATGAGCAAAGCATTGATAGTAGAACTTTTTCCAACGTTCGGATATCCTACCAAACCAATCGTTGTCACTCCATCTGTGTAGGTTTTATTACCAGTAAAAATTATTTTAAATAATTCTACGAGATCATTCCTATTTAATAATTTCGATGAATTAACTATTTCTCTTGTTTTGTCTTCCTCTGTCGTAGAGATTTTTAAGTTCTCCATTGCACATTGAGCTTCTATTTGTTTGTCATTATCAATTTCTATATTAGGTACAGTAGATGTATCATTGTCAACGATACTATTTTCCGCGCTTTCATACTCTGATTCCGAAGCAAATTCAGAGTTCCACTCGTCAGTACTACTTTCATCGTTTTTATTCAAACAATCGTCATTTTTATCTATCGATTTTGCCTCATCTTCATCTTCTTCTTTTATTGACTGTTTTTCTGCAGTTAACGTGGCAGAAAAAAAGGCCACTCGTATATTTAAGTCTGTAAAATATTTTGCCCATGCCTCTCTTTGCTCGTCCGTTAAAAAGTCTGCTTTATTAAGAAGAATCATATTTAATTTGTCAGGATTTATTTCTTTAACATAACATTCCAAATCTTCACAGCGAAAGAGCAATGGATTACGTGCATCTACAATTTGTACAATCACGTCGCTGCGTTCTACTACTCTCCACAATTGTCGCCAAAACTCTAAATTCCTCTCATAAGGTGTCAATATCAATCCTTCCACTTCTTGCAACTTGGCCAAATTGCGTCTCCATTCTAAGAATGCCTCTTTCTCAAGAGTGTGCAATTCCTGAGCACTTAGGGAAATGTTCCACTTGGGCCTTCTAGGTATCTTAACAAGGCCCTTGTTTCTTTCTTGTATTTCCAATATTTTCTCCTTTTCATTCTTTGAAAGCAAGCCACTACTGGGATTCACAAATTTAATGTTTAATTTCTCTGCAGTAAATTCGGTTCCTGCAAGTTCAGCAGTCGACAGAAACTCTTGAAACGAGTTCTCCTCTGTAACCGATTGCAAATTGAGTCGACCCCAATCATAACCATCATTGATCTCTGTAGTGTGAAGCTATATAAAAAAAGCGAGAAAAGATATTCTAAATAACAGTTTACCAACAATTTATTAACAAATATATCATCGATAGATGAAATACTTAGGCCCAGTTTCAAAACTCATGGTTAACTCTTAACCGAAGCTCAACTTATTTCTCATCTTTTTCCAATTCTAGAATTGAAAAGAGATAATGAATAAGTTGAACTTTTAAGAATTAACAGTCAGTTGTGAAACTGGGCCTTAGTAGATAAACTTAGCAACTGATTAAATTTCTGATAAACGTCATAAATGAATGTTATTTATAACTAAAAATATAAACATGACAGAATACTTTTTCAAATTGTATTATTTATGAAACATTTGTGGAATTAATCCCAACTCGCCTACACTTGTCAAAAGGACATTTAAAAGAAAAGGTTACAATTTATTGTTTTACCATAGACTCATTTTTGTTCCTCTTAATTTTCGTAGATCCAAATCGATCCCTGATTAAAGATTTTCCTAAATTACCACCTCCTCCTTTGCCTTTCTTGCCCATCGTTTTTGTTAAATAATACTTATCCGTTACAAAAACAGCATGTGACTCTGCAATGTTTGTAACTTGAAGGTTAAATTTTGCGAGCCATATAACCTCGCCTCGAAGGATTGTAGTTCTACCACTACATAAAAAAGAATCAAGCCTCTCTCACACACACACACACAACGCGATCAAATTATTATTAAAAGAATGCAATTTATTGACAATTAATAAATAACGCAAATTATATACGTTTCTTGAAATAAATCGACGGATACATCACGTTACAATTCAAAATGTCCCTATATAATGAGGAACATAATTCAGAGATCGAAACAGATCAAATTCGTGTTCCGATAAAATTGAGATACAGAGAAAATGTACTTTAATATTTTTATGTGCAACTATAAAAACACGAATTTACAATATGAAACATTAAACTCATTGAATCATTATCATTATCGGTTTCGATCTCTAATATGTAATCCTGTTTCCGTTCAAAATTTCATCATGATTCGAGATATTCGCTGTATTACATTTGCATATTATACAAGATCAAGAGAAAATCGATCTAAATTCAATCAGGATAATTGTGACATTAGAATAGTATTTTCAATAATAATCTAATAATTGTTACATAAGTAGTAGTAAAAAATTATAGCTATATATATTCAACAGATATGTATAAAGATATGTACTAAGAGAAATATTACAAGCTTTCAAATTAGTAGTGTGAAATAAGTCACAATTTATAATCTTTAAATGGACAACTTTATAATTAAAGTTATAAGAAACTTACAACTTCTTTACAACTCTCTGTTGCATCAATTAAGTTCAATAATATATACTATTTGAAAACTTATATCGTTTTTAAAAAAATCTTTAAAAAATTATTTTTTCTTTATGTCACGGTTATCCCAGTTGAGCTCGCTCGCTTATCGTATAACACATGCGAAAATAGGGCAGAAACGAAAGATGCTTTATGTTATTCCGTTTTATTAATAGTTGATAGACTGTTCTGGCACTCTCACGTCCTTCAGACGATAAACAGACGCAAAAGTCAGTCATACATTCGTGTTCATTCTCCTCTAGGATTATGCATCACCCAACACGATTAATGCTTGCCGACACATATGGAATAAGAATTTCCTCGCAAGGCAGCTTGTGAACAGTTCCTATCGGATTAGTATTCATGTCGCCAATCCCTAATACATTATATTACAATTTCGTGTTTCTTCATCTTGAAAAAAAAAAACTGTTTATATTATAGCATACTGCACCACATAAATCAACTCGATTCAGAGTAAATCCAAATCTGAATCAGCGATTCGTTCTCATCTCTATCTCCCCCTCCCCCCTCTCTCTCTCTCTCTTCTTTTTTCTTTAAGAAAGTTTAATTAATCACCTTCTGTACACAATCGGCTCGCGCAAATCTCGCACACAGAGTACTCGATCATTAGCTCATTAGGCGAATCGTAAAAAAAAGGAGAAATATATATATAGTATATATTATACATATATGTATATACACACACACATATATATACATATATATCTTATATATTATATATCTATATTATCTATATATATACTTCATAAATACCATATGAGTACCAAGTATTTTTGCATACATGAGTAACAGAGTTCACTCATT